TGACTTTTGTTAAATTGCACTGTACTTTCTTAAATATTGACAATTTTAAAGATATAAGCTCATCTCGATGTTACACTCATCGAGACCTTTCATTTGAGTACCCACATCAATTTTTTATATATTTATATATATTATATATTATATATATAAATATATGATAAATATATGAAAAATTGATGTGGGTACTCAAATGAAAGGTCTCGATGAGTGTAACATCGAGATGAGCTTATATCTTTAAAATTGCCAATATTTAAGAAAGTACAGTGCAATTTAACCAAAGTCATTGTTTACTAACGCAAAATTTTATTTATTTATAGTTTACAAGTCACGGCAGTCACATAGTGACTGTAAAGTCACTAGTAATTTTTATTGTATAATAATTTCAATGAAATAATATGAATTTTTCATAACTTCAAAATTTTTTCCGAATCTATTTGTTCCGGGATTCTTAACTGCCAGCTAAGCATTCTATTATTATTTTTGTAAATGTATACAGTAAATAGAAATTAAAGGAATTTGTATAAAAAATGTACACGAATATAAATGAAAAAATATTATATTTTATTTAATATTAATATTAATTCTAATTAGTTCAGGTAGTTGTTGATAGAATATGTAAATTTCAATTTATTTTTTTGTACAAGCCAATAAATTGTTAGACTTTAACGCTCTTGTTTCCTTTAAAAAAAAATTTTTTTTAGTTTTAGGAAATTTAATAAAAAATTTAAATATTTACCTTTGAATGTTGTAACTTAATAATACGCTTAGCATTCCAATTGGGTGAATTCGATAACACAATTACGGTAAAATCTTTAAACACGTCTTGTAAAATATTATTTATCAACTCAGTGTCTGGCTCCAAATCTTCAATAATTATTATCTGTGGTGATAACAATGAACATAATTATTATATATAATTTAATCATTTTTTGTTGAACAAATCTAAATAATTAAAAATTTACACTTCGATTGAAGACTGTGGAGTTTAAATAAATACGGGCAAGTGATAGTAATTTTTTTTCAGTCACACTAAATAAATTACTTGCATTGCTGTCCAATTTGTTATCAAATTTAGATATTTTTTCCCAAAGAAATACTTTTTGTAGCGCATCCATTATTTCTTTGTCAGTACGACGATTATTTGACTCTAAATTGTACTTTATAGTACCATTAAAAAGAATAGGTACTCTGGGTATGTAATCTACGTATTGTCTCAGTACGTCGATGTTTATATCAACGATATTTAAATTTCCTATTAAAATATTTCCTGAAAAAACTTCGTCAAATTGCAGCAATACTTTTACTAAGTGACTTTTTATTTCTGTATTGCTACCATGAATTGCTGGAAAAAAAAATTAAGTATTCAATTTAATTAAATTTATTGATTATTATTATCTATATTATTGAGAGAAGAATAAAAATTTTGTCTCCAAGATAGTCATGTAATAAAATCGGTTTTTTTTAGTGAAATTTAGTGTCATTACAAAGGTCTTGAGTTGAATTTGTGCCTTTTCAAGGTTTTATTTCATTCTCACCGATAGTCAATTTATTATGATAAGTATTTACTTCATTCAAAAATGCTCTATCTGTAGATACATAACGATGGTCTAATTAGTAATTTGTCTAACTCCATATTTTTTAGAGGGTGATTTTTTTAACATTTTGATGTAGCTATAATCGAATTATAAATTATTTGAATGATTCAAACCTAAATATTATATCTCTAATAAATAATAATGATATTAAATGGTTTTTTAAAGTGATAATGAATTTTGAACTAATTGTTTTTTTCGTACAAATAGAAGATTCTCTAAAATGGAGTTAGACAATTTACTAATTAGAACGTCGATAATTAAGAAATGACCTTGTATCTTGTGAACTATTGACATTTTTAAAGATATAAGCTCATTTCGATGAAACACTCATCAAGACCTTTCATTTGAGTACTCACATCAATTTTTCATATATTTATATATATTATATATATCATATATATGTATGTATGAAAAATATATAAAAAATGCATATGGGTACTCAAATGAAAGCTCTTGAAGAGTGTAACATCGGCATGAGCTTATATCTTTAAAAACGTCAATAGTTAAGAAAGTACAGTGCAATTTAACATAATTATGAAACTACCTTGTATTTTGCGAACTATTGACATTTTTGAAGATATAAGCTCATCCCGATGTTATACTCATCAAGACCTTTCATTTGAGTACCCACATCACTTTTTCATATATTTTACATATTTATATATATTATATATAAATTTATATATATATGAAAAATATATCAGAAATGCATGTGGGTACTCAAATGAAAGCTCTTGATGAGTGTAACACTGGAATGAGCTTATATCTTTGAAAACTTCGATAGTTAAGAAAGTACAGTGCAATTTAACATAATTAAGAAAAGACGTTGTATCTTGGGAACTATTAACATTTTTAAAGATACAAGCTCACCCCGATATTACACTCATCGAGACCTTTCATTTGAGTACCTACATCAATTTTTCATATATTTATAAATATTATATATATGTATATATGAAAAATATATAAAAAATGCATGTGGGTACTCAAATGAAAGCTCTTGATGAGTGTAACGTCGTGATGAGCTTATATCTTTAAAAACATCAATATTTAAGAAAGTACAGTGCAATTTAAGAAGAGTCATTGTTTAATAAAGGAAAATTTTAATTTTTTATAGTTCATAAGTCACTGCTGTCACATAGTGACTGCAAGATTGCTAGTTATTATTATTATTATTGAAAAATTTTGATTCTTTAGATAGTAATAATAATAATAATAATAATAATAATAATAATAATAGCAGAATAAAATTTATTTCAAAAACACTTACCAACTTTCTCTCCAGCATAAATTGAAAAATTCAATGGCTCATGATCTGTTGAATTAATTAACAGTACATTCTGAAAATGAATACTTGGTATCAGCGGCCAATCACGTCTATCAATATTATCTCTTATCTCCTGTGGAATATTCTAATTAAAAAAACAAAAAAAAAAAATTAGTTCAAAATTCAGAAGAAATAATTTCATGAATAATTATTAATAATTCAATACCTGAATATAATTATCAATGTAACCAACAGTCATAAGACTGCCGTAGGCATCAATAATCGCTGCGGTAAGATGGACAATACTCTGCGTCAATTGAATAGTACAAATAAAAGCCAGTCCTAATACTTGATAGCGATCTTTTACCCCGTTAACAACCGCGCAAATAACAATTACTACAGCCAGAGTAATTGCTGAAATAAATTTAATCCTAAACTCTATCCATAACTTGGTTGCTTTGATCATGAAATCATAAGTAGCATTTGCGTCGCAGAATTTATTAAATTTTTTAACAAACTCTCTTTCTTTCCTGTACGCCTGAATCGTCGCTCTTTCAGTCACGGTGTTGACAACGTGATTGTAAATTGGCGTGATCGAGTCTATTTTTGATTCATTTAGCGCGAGGATCAATCGACGTAAATATAATTGATAAATTATAATTACAGAAACAAATATTGCCATCGGTAATAATAACCAAGGACAAATTATCCCAAGAATTGTTATGGTGAACAAAATGATTCCGAAGTGCATAAGTATTGTTATTTTTAACTTTGGTAATGTATGGTCCACTGAAGAAATTTTTAAGTAAGTTAAATGAATAATTATTATGAGGAGAATCATTTTTTACCTTCTTGTAAATCATGACTGCATATGTTTATCAATGCTGAAGGAAACACTGATGAGAATATTGATATGTGGGCACGGTTTATTTTTTTTAGCCACCTCTCGTGCATTTTTTTGGCTGCATTGAATATTTCCTAAAAATTTTAATAAATATTTTTTAGAAACTTTGCATAATTTTTCAATAGTAAATTTTTTTTAATTTCTTAAAAGCAATAAAAAAAATTTATATCACTAAAAAGAAAATTTTATCAGAACTTGAAATAAAATTTACAAGTTTTTAAATTAAAAAAATAATATTAGATAAAAAAAGGAATTTTAAATGTTAAAAACAAATTATTTTTTAAAAAAGAAATTTATAAACCTCAAAAATTTGTTTATTAAGTATAACTAGCAACCTCGCAGTCACTACGTGACTGCTATGATTTATAAGCTATAAAAAAATAAAATTTTGCTTTATTAAATCATGACTGTTGTTGAATTGTACTTTCTTAAATATTGACGTTTTTAAAAAAATAAACTTATCCCGATGTTACACTCATCAAGATTTTTCATTTGAGCACCCACATGCATTTTGATATATTTTTCATATATACTAGGGTGGCGCAAAAAAACCGACTATTTTTTTTTTTTAGTCTCGAGTGAAAAAATGTTAGTTTTTGATGTTTTAAGAACCCTCACCAAAGGAGAGCTCAAAAAAAAATTTTTAAGAGGTCACTCGAAATTTTTCAAAATTTCAAAAATCGTCAAAAATCGAATTTTTTTTTTTTTAATTTTTTTTCTCGTTACGGTATAATTTTATAGACAAAAAAAAAAATAAGTTTCTGAAAGTTTCAGTTCAAAATTTAAATTTTGAAACGTCGCTCATAATTTTTTTTATTTTTCGTTAATTAGTCATATCGCCGACTTTAAGTGTTGGGAGTGGTATGTTGGGGTCTTTTTGGTTTGAAAAAATCTTAACTTACGTGGCAAGGTCAAATCTCAACCAAGCTGGTTTCTAAGACCAGCTTGGGATTCGAACTCACGCCTGACAGTTGATTAAATAAAATTATTAAATTAAAAAAAAATTATATTTTCTATGTTGTGCTTGATTTTTAGTTCATCTCGTGATGTACTCTTATCGATTATTGTACGAAATAAAAAAAAAAAAATGTATGGAATTTTAATTTGAATAGTAAAAGGTCACTCGAAAAAATCTAAACTAATGCACTAATAAATTGAAAAAAAATATGAGCGACCTTTCAAAATTCGAATTTTGAACTGAAATTTTCAGAAACATTTTTTTTTGTCTATAAAATTATACCGTAACGAGAAAAAAAAATTAAAAAAATAAATTTTTTGATTTTTGACGATTTTTGAAATTTTAAAAAATTTGGAGTGTTATGTAAAAAATATTAATTTAGGGTAATTAATTAATTTTACATTTATAAATATATGAAAAAATGATGTGGATACTCAAATAAAAGTCTTGATAAGTGTAACATCGAGATGAACTTATATCTTTAAAAATGTCAGTAGTTGACAAGATACAAAATCATTTCTTAATTATTGATATTTTTAAAGATATAAGCTCATCTCGATGTTACACTCATCAAGAGCTTTTATTTGAGTACCCATATGCATTTTTATATATTTTTCATATATTTATATATATATAATATATATAAATATATAAAATATATGAAAAATTGATGTGGGTACTCAAATGAAAGGTCTCGATGAGTGTAACATCGGGATGAGCTTATATCTTCAAAAATGTCAATAGTTCCCAAGATACAATGTCATTTCTATTACATTTCAATTTCATAATTATGTATCTAGAGATAGAACATTTTTTAATGCAGCCTAAATCCATCTTATCATAAATTGACTATCGGTGAGAATGATATAAAATCTTGAAAAGGTACAAATTCAATTCAAGACCTTTGCAACGACACTAAATTTCTTTAAAAAACCGATTTTATCATATGAATATCCTGAACATAAAATTTTTCTTATTTTTTTAATAATATAGATTATCCTTAATCCACTTATTTTTATTAAAATTACACAAAATACTTACTCTGTTGTAAATAATTGTCAAAATAAGTCCTAATAAAATAATAAATCCCACAATTGATGCCAATATAATTGAAATAAGTGTAGTATTAACCAGAGTTTCCTAAGAAAAACAAACCTCCATAAATAATTTATCAAAAATTTGAAGTAAAGTATTATTTTATACCTGAGAGATGTAAAAAAAAATTAAAGGACTAGCAGCAATTGGAATAGAATACAACAAAGCCATTGCACAAACAAATTCACTGAGATATTTTCCACCGACTCGATAATCTATAGCCTGAACTCCATAAACTCCTTTTGTAATATCAAACTCAGTTTCTTCTCTATTGAATATTAAATTAATATTGCTCGAAGAAACTGCCGTAGAAGTGAGCCGCTTACTTTTAATTGTATTAGTTGTAGAATCAACTAGTAATTGCGAATTACCGCGATACTTTTTGTCAAATGATTTTATCAGTTCATCATATTCTTTGTTCCACTGACAAAGGTCCTCGTGCTTGCCATGCTCGACTATTTTTCCATTTTTCATCATATAGATCATATCGCACCTCTCTAAAAACTTAAAAAAATTGTAAAATAAAAATAAAATATTAATTAATGTAATAAAATTAATTAATTAATTAAATATAAACTTACTTGGACTTTATCAGTAATTATCACAACGCTCTTGAGCGTAAGAACTTGAACGATAGCTTTGTGAAAAATTTCCAGACTTTCTATCACATCCAAATCTTTCAGTGGATTGTCCAGCAGATTGATGTCGCAATTGATATAAACAGCGCGAGCCAGCGCTATTTTTTGCTTCTGAACCGTCGAGAGATCTACTGTGTAGACGTCTGTATCGTCCGAGCCTGGGAGCAAGCTAATATCTGTAGTCAGATTGCAAGCTTGCACAGTTTTGTAGTACCATGAAGAATCAAACGGTTCATTCATCACTATGTTCTCCTTCAAAGTTCCCTCAAATAAGTGGAAATCTTCTGGGACATATGACATACTTCCGTCGATTGTTACTTGACCATTGTTGCGATTCAACTGGCCCATTATTGCGAGAAGCAAAGATGACTTTCCGCTTCCAGAGTCGCCGCATACTCCTATTAATTTTCCTTTTGGAACGTAGAAATTTATGTCTATCAGCTCTGGTGACAATGACGCTTTCAATGCTGGGCCTACTTGGATATTGTCATTTTCTACGGAACTGTGAATTTAAATAATAGGTTGGAATAATTTATTTTTTATTAAAGTGGTTTTTTCTGAAATCAATTAATGAGTTATAAGTGTAACTCCAGGATGAGCTGATATTGTTGAAATAATATTATCAGTGGACAAAATACTACGTTGTATCTTGACATTTCACATTTTTTGAGATATAAGCTCATCCTGATGTTACGCTCATCGAGACCTTTCATTTGAATACCCACACGAATTTTTTTATATATTTCACAAATATGAGAAATATCATA